TTCCATGACTAGCCATTGATTTTATTGTCTTGAAGCTTATGTGGCCAAGCCTAGCGTGCCAACGCCATGGTTCTTCCTTTAGCTTTGCGTATAAACAAGCTGATGTTCCGATTTGAAGTTTTATCTTGTAGAGTCGGTTTGGTGATCTCTCTACCTTCACCAACAGTCTTCCATTTGGGTCTTTCAAGGTGAGATGTGTATCTTTCATTCTTATATCACATCCTTGCTCTGTAGCTTGTCCCAAACTCAAGATATTACTTCTCAGTTCGGGGATGAAGTAAATATCTTTTAGTAGTTTTTGCTCTCCGGTCTTAGCTTCGAAAATTATGGATCCCTTTCCTTGTATTTCTACATAGGACCCGTCTCCAAACTTCACCTTACCCCTAATATTCTCGTTGAGCTCAGAGAAATAGGATCTTTTCCCTGTCATATGATTGCTCGCGCCGTTATCTAAGTACCAAATCCCATCTTCTTTCTTGTCTTTCTCAAAGGTCTTGGGTAGTACTCTTTCTTCGTTTAAATAAACGACTTCGTGTAGGTATAATGCGGCATCAGCTACTTAAGTTTCGTTTTTATTAAGCTCTTGTTCCTCATCCTTTTTCTCTGGACAAACAGATGCAAAGTGACCTTTTTTCTTACAATTAAAACAGACAATCTGTGAGTAGTCCCTTTTCTCTTTGACTGTACTGCTTCTTCCTCGTCCTCTACCTCTGTTGTCACTGCCACGACCACGACCCCGGTTCCAGCCTCTGCCTCTTCCTCTACTACCATGATCTGAATAGAGAAGACTTCCTTGTTCTTCAAGCTTTTGTTCTCCACGTAATCGTGCTTCACCACGCAGACGTTCCTCAAAAGCTTTAAGTCTTCCTACTACATCTTCAAACCTTGTTGTATTCAGATCCAGTACTTGCTCGAGTGTTGCAGAGAGCTGTAGGAACTTGCTTGGTAGGCAAGAGAGAAATTTCTTTACGAGTTTTGGTTCCTCCATCGTGTGACCTAATGATGCGGCTGTTCCTGCGAATTCCGACAGCTTGCCTGAGAACGTATCAATAGTCTCATTGTCTTTCATCCTAAGATGATCGAACTCAATCATCAGGGTATGTAGCCTAGCTTCTATCACACGATCGGCACCAATGTTTAATGATTTTAATGCCTCCCACATCTCTTTAGGAGATTCTTGATCTCCAATTTGTAGAATTAAGTTCTCTGGGATTCCTTGGAACAATATGACGGTCGCAAGATCGTTTTTCTTTTGATCTTTTGATCCTGGATCAATAGTCTCCCATACTTCATGAAATCTTAACAAAACCTTCATCCGTAATGACCATACTGCGTAATTGGTTGTAGTGAGCATCGGTGTTTTGATTGATGGCGGTACAGCGTTTAACTTCGCCTGCGGTTTCGCGTCTGTATCACCCATGGTTCTTTTCTTGATTAACCTTGGCTCTGATACCAAATAAAGTCACCAAAACAGATCGTATGTGTATGCAAAGAACAACAATAAGAACTCTTGCTTTGTCTTATTAATCTTTTCTTAGCTTTCTTTTCTTTCTTGTGGAGATCATCTTACATTGAACTCTCCTTATATAGGTAATAGAACTCTTAACTTTTCCTATTACAACATGATCTAGGAAACTTAACTTAATCCTAAATCTAATAGATTTTAGTTATCCATCTTTCCTTTTTATGGATAACTTGTTTCCTAAGCTATTATTGAAGCTTATCCAACAGATACCTTATGCAAAGAAAGCACACAAGATCAAATGAACATCTGATATGTGGGATTCTCTGCTTTTTCCCCACATTCTTCTGTTTCATGTTGTTGGTATTTAAACATCATGCTTACTTTTCATGTCCATATTCTCCTGGTTCCTTTTGCATCTCGCCACTTTTCTCTTTAGATTTGATCCCTGGAGAGGTTTGAGACATGTGTATGTACATAACTACATAAAACTTCGACATGATCATAAGGGTTTCTGAGTTTCTACAACGCCAATAATCTTGACAAGCCACTCCAGCTTGTATGAAGGGATCCCTTTTGGCTCTCACATATATCTGATAAATGCTAAATGACCCCGGAAGTATATATAAAAAAACTGAGATAAAGTAATTGTTAACGTTTAAATATTGATCTGACGTGTTTTCCATTTTTCGTCGATCTATATAATATGATTCACTATTATATATATATATATATATATTTACACATTTGACTTCGAGAGTGGAACCCTAGCTACAGGTTAACAAAGGAAAGAAACAACATGATGAAAACGATGAAGAAAATTGCTATTGCAACAGAAAAGAAATAAAAAACTCAATTATGTTTACGGAACATTTCAAATTTCAGCTAAATGCAACAAAAAAAAAATTTAAAAATAACCGGACGACAGCTGGCTGCACGTAACAAACCTATAAGTTAACGAAGATAACAAGATCGTGGATTGTTGGTGATTCTGTACATATTTAAGCCCTGATTGTGTTAACGTTGAAATATTGATCTGACGCTTTCACCCTCCATCGAAGAGAAAAGGAAATTATGTATGATAACGGACACTTGGGATCCAAGTTAAATCTTGTTTTCCATTTTTTTAGTTTTTTCGACGCTCTATAAAAGACGATTCACTATTCTATATTTCTATCTCTCTCTTTATTTCCATACTTGGCTTCGAAAGTGAAACCCTAGTTATAACAGTTGCCCTTTTCCAAATTCATTCTCTTCAAAAAAATCAACGAAGGAAAGAAACAACAACATGATGAAAACGATGAAGCAAACTGCAACTGTAACAGAGAAGGCTAGGGCTGATGATGATAATGGTTGCAAGTCTTTTGCAGCGAGGCCTGTCCAAGCGAAGAAGCAATCGGCTCCCTCAAGGAAACTTTCTCAAAACCCTAAATCTCTGATTAAGAAAAACGTGAAGAAGCCTCATGACGAGTTTTGCAAGTCTGTTTCGACAAGGCCTCTAGAGATAACGAAGAAGAAGCAGTCGACTCTGAAAGTTTCTAAAAACCCTAAATTTGTGCCAGCTGTCAAGAAGAACGATAAGGATACGCTGGAGCTGTTTGAAATAGCCAAGAAATCAGCGGATGTGGCCAACGCAAAGGGACTTCTAGCGGCTAAAGCAGAGACATCAATCTGTGTAGATACTCTTTTGTTGCTCATCGATCTCCCCACAATCAGCGCAACAGCTCCTGAAACGAGGAAGATCATGGATAGGCTTGGTCATCTCACAAGGCACAAAGACAGGAAAATCTGCAATTCCGCATCAGTTCTTTTTCACCAGTGGAGTCAGAGCATCAGAGATCAACAACGCTTATGAATGCCCTCTAAAACTTAAGGAAACACGAAGGAAGATAGTATAGGCTTTGTGATTTGACAACAACTTCGGTTGTTTTATTCTTCTTGGCAAATTTACCACTGTATATTTCAATTACTCAAAAGCTAACTGTAAAGAATTGCTTTCACAATCTGTATTTGTGTTGTTATCTGTTTATGCGTATTAATGAAATTGGATTTTTCAGTTGTAAATCAATGCTTAAGAAAGGTTTCATTTTTATCTGACATAATATATTGAATGGATATTCATGTTCGTATATATTTTTTTTTTGGCATAGACATAAGACTGAATGTTGACTTTACCACTAACTTAGAAACCAGAAAAATCAGCATAAACAAGATCACATATTCACATATATGAGTTTGTTACGTTATATCCACCAACACACACTAGTGACTTCATACAGAATATACTACCAGAGCCTCAGACAATGTTTTTGTGTTGTGGAGAGTCTCAGGAAACTTACATCAGAAGAAAGTAATATCTGAATTTAGCGTTGGTCTAGCAAAGGAGGCATTGATGTTTCGACATATGTTTCTGATGTTCCAAACGCTTATCTCGGATTATTTTTGTTTCTACATATGTTTCTACAAGAGTCTCGGGTTGCTTTGTTGTTTTAGCCATATTGGGCTCATGTGTTTCTATGTCTACTTTTCTCAAAGCTATGATGGTTCCTACTGATAAAGAGAGAGGCAAAGATAAAGAAAAAAGATTCAGAGTTCATAAATTGCAATTAAGTTTTATGTTTCTTATACTAGAAAAGAATCTATCGATGATTAAAAATCTCTAAGTTTATACAGAAAACTTAAACATATATCTTTTAGCTCTGTTTTTTCTCTGGTATATCCTCTGTTTTATAAAGAAACAATTAAGAGATGGAAACAAACTACAGAGGATACTACTTTGAGCTTGAAATGAGGATATTAATATTAATTTCTTTTACAAAAACATATATATAGAGAAACTCTAAGTACCCGCTTGCGCCCAGGCCTAATATAATATGATCGTGATTTCGTTAAGTTGAAATATTGATCTGACACAAAGGCTTAATATGAGGTCTATGTAATATCATCTTCTTTCATAATATTTGGTTTTTACTGTATTAGAAAAACTTATGCTTGCAGATTATATTGTCTTTGAATGCAATTTTTTTTTCCAGACAGTAGATGAACCTTGTCTTAGCAGTTTTACATTGTCATCTTTTAATTTTGATATTTTGCATTATCTCGTTTTTTGTAATCCAAAATGCTGATTTTTCTATGCTTATCTTTTTTTTCATAGTGATCAATATGGGTGTTTTAATCTGGATGATAACAGGGAACAATATAGAGTTCTAAATTTCTAATAATCAGTGAAACCTGCAAAGCTTTGAAATGGAGGTTGCAGGTTCTGTGTTTTCTCTTCTTCTAAGACTGCTAGTGGTTTTATTCTACTTATGCAACCGACTCATCTAACTAAGTTAGAAAAGGCAGCTTAAGCAGACCTGAACGGTTACTTTTTGGTGACTTAAAGTATATGAGCAAATGAATCCTTAACCACTTCTTCAAGACAAGAGTGTTTCAACATAGAAAATTAATAAGATCATCACAATAACTCTTATTCAGTAGCAGAAATAAGTTTTTGGAGAGATGTAATTCCAAGATTTATTAGAGTAAAGCTTACGGTAAAAGATGATTCTGGTAAATTTATATCTCTAAGTAAAGACAGAGCAATTACAGAACTGGAACATAATATTTATACTAGGCAAATATGATGGTTGCAAAATTACAACTTTAATATGATACACAATTGAGAAATAGCAAAACAGAAAGATAATAATAAAGTGTTTGACAATAGTCAACAACTATCCTGTTCTTGAAGCAAGAGAGGCCTAAGAGATCATCATTGTTGGATAGCCAGAAGATAGCGTCTGATTGTATGGAATCCCCTGTTGTGTCTGCATAAACTGATGATCAAACTGCTGGAAAATTGGGGTTTTAGTGTGCATCATTGGATGAGGAAAGGTAGAGATGGGAAGATGAAAGTTGTTGCAGCTTCTGATTCCTTGTTCCCCCAGTAATAGATCCATGTAATTAGTTCCATACAGATCTTGATTACACGGAATCTCCCCTTGTTCAAAGCTAGGAAGAGCAGAGGTGTTGGCCAATTGTGTGAAAGTGCCATTGTCATGGTTAAATAACAAGACTGAGAACTTGCTCGGCTGATTCAACGAGGAGGAGGAAGAAGATGTAGTAGGTAAATCAGCAGGGGTACTCAGATGATTCATCAAGATTGGTTGACATTGATCCACATTAATTAGCGAGGAATTAGAACCTAGATCCGTTAAAACAACTCCATGATCATCATGATCCTGACCAGATTGAAGAAGGGAGCCTCGCATCTTTTCTCGGAATATCGTTAACTGACTCTCCAAGGAATCCTCAATCACTAACACTTTCTTGGAGAATTTGTTGTCGTTTGCTTTGAGAGATGCTTTCTTCTCGTCCATCATCTTCTTGTTAAGAAACAGAGAGAAGTTTGTGCTTTTCTTGTTCCGTTCTTGTGCGCTTAACCTGCTAAATCGCTCGGCCATGGCTTTAACCTGAGCTTCCTCCGATGAAGTCTCGACGAGGTTCCCATCACGGTCCTAGCAGATGATGCAAACATCGACACCGCATAACTCCGAGAGTTCGTATGCTTTCTTGTGAACAGTCTTGGCTCGTGCCTTGAATTATGTATCTTTTCTCACCGACAATTTGGACTTGCAGGTCTTATTTATTGTCGTCTTCGTCATTATGCACGAAACTGAAAGTTTCTCAGGAGATTATTTTTTGTTTACTGAAAACAGAAATAGATTTTTTTGAGGGGGATGGTGTTGTAAGTAATTAAATATCAGATATTGAACAAAAAATATAAAAAACATATAACGGTCAAACAACGAGAAGGGCAAAAAGAAACTTCAGAAAGGCTTAGATCTATATTATTATTTAAGAAGTAATTTTGCTGAAGTGTCATGTATTCCATGATTTTAGGCAATTTTCATAATTTTTAGTTTTAAATCATATTTTCATAATATTTTCATTCATACTTAATACTTATCTATATGTTTTTAATTTTTAGGGTGGTTTGATTATGGATTGCCAACGTACTTTGGAACATTCAGCTGAAGCTTCACAATCTGATGGATTAAAGAGTAACGGTACGTTTTAAGTCATTTATATTTATTTATTCTTTTGCTACAAAGATAATTTATATTTAAAGTGTTTGTTATGGATTTTCTTATTCGTTTTTGGTTTTTTCAGTAAAGTTTTAAGTTATGCCTCTTTATTATTGTTATTTAATCATTCACATTTAGGAAAATGAGAAACTTTAGGAAAAATTGCTTCTAACATGGTCAAATAAAAGGTATTATGTACGTCAATTTATTTAAATATATCAAATCTATGTATTTATTCCTTCAGGTATTGACTAAACTGCCGTTACATTCATTATTCCAGGAATCACTCAAAATTTCCAAGTTAGTTTATACTTTACACCAAATATACATCAATAAATATGAATATGAAGTAGTTAATTCGTAAAAGTTCTATCATCTGAATACTACATGGCCATGTTAGGATCAGAAAACAAAACCTTTTGCATTATTTTATATAACAAAATTGTACACAAAAATAAAAATAAAACTTCTAATTAAATAAAAAAACTAAGATAGCATTAAGTATTTGCCATATTAAGATAGCTCAATTTTTTAATAATTGTTATTTGCATTATAACCAGATAAACGTTTAACAAAAAACTATTTCTATTGGAACAAACTAATCACTGCAAAATTTAAAAGAAAAATCATATATTTACTTTAACAAAAGGAGTTATATATAAAAAGTTAATATGAATCTATAAAAATATGTACTACTTAAAAATAATGATAGTAATGGTAATAATGCTCAAATCAAATACACATATTTTGAGAATCTAAGTACTTATAAAAATAATGATAGAACATATCTATCTTTTATTATTTTGTATTTTAACAATATTATAGATAATATATATATTTTATAAGTGGTATTTATCCTAATCCATGCAATATTATAATATTCTGCCGACTCTAAGATAGTATATATATTTCTCAGCAGACACTTGATAAACAATAGAAAACAAAACTTCTCAGCAAAAATAATAACTTCTCAACAATGTCTTTTTGGAGAAAAAAACTTGCTTCTCTTGTTCTTATTGGAGAGATTGATCCTGCTAAATATTGTTATAAGATTAAAGTCAAAGTGTTAAAACTTTGGAATACATTGAAAATTTTGAAAATCGTTTGGATTGAATTAGTGTTGGTTGATACCATTGTAAGTATTTTATTTTTCTTCTTTATTACTTAGCACTAATTATGGTTTAGTGTTACTGATATCTTTTTGTAATTTTTTCTAGGGTAGAGGATTGATGCTTCTATTGATGAACGTTCTCTTAGTAACTTCAAATCTAAGTTATCTCAAGAAGACTCTTTGTTCTGAGTAATTTCACCATCGGTGATTATACAACAAAATATAGAACGAATCCTCTTCCTTTTAAGAATCACTCCTCGTGTCTACGTTTGGGTAGCTAACAGAGAAAATCCAGTAACAAGCCTCACTGCTAATCTCACAATCAGCAGTAATGGAACTTTGATCTTGCTTGATGAGAAACAAAAAATTCTCTGGTCATCTGGACAAGAAGTTCTCACATCTAACAAATGTCGAGCTGAGCATTTAAACTCTGTAAATCTTGTGGTCGTAGATAACGTTACAGGAACGTATCTATGGCAAAGCTTTGAGCATCTTACAGACACCATGCTTCTCCGGCGAAACCATGGCGTCCGTACCGAGAGGCCTCATTTCTCGCATCAGCCACCCTTCTCCCTCGCAATCTCTACCCGTTTGTAGTTTCTCCTCCAACGATTCAGCTCTGATGCTAGGGCCGTCGAGGGTATTGAATCCGATATAACCGAGGTTCCGTATCATCGAGGCAAAACCCGGTGAGATGTCCCAGAGCTCCAAAAGGACAGGGATCATCGCCGTAAAGTGTGGGTTGACTGCTCTCTGGAACAAATGGGGAGCTAGGGTTCCTATTTCTATTCTCTGGGTCGATGACAGCATCGTCTCTCAGGTCAAGACCACTGAGAAAGAAGGGATCTTTGCGTTACAGGTAGTTTTTCATAAGCTTTGAACGTCTTCTTTTCCATGTTGTTGTATCCCATGTTATAATACTCCCACCACGTTCTGTGCAAAAAACAACAGTTCTAAACGCTTGTCTGACATAAAAAAAGGGATCTAAAGATATATGTTTTTTATTTTAAGTTTACCAGTGTTTGCAGCAATGTAAAGAACTTCATTGCCTACATTGTCGACAGAGAATCTGCAATAGGCAAACATCTCATCCTGCATTATTATATTCAAACTCATTACATTTAATAATTTTTTTTTTTAAAGTTTGTATACAAAGTTATGAGATACAAATAGCAAAACCCCACTGGCCTTCTCTTTTGATAGACCGGCAATGGCAGCAGAAGACTTTACGTCCCAAACTCGACCAAGTGGACCTCCAAGTGACACAAGAAAATATTATATTCCATATTCTAAAGCTTAAAATTAAAAACTAACACATTAAAAATATTATATACCATTAATTATCAGCCTGGTGAAAAAAATTTATACAAAACCACATTTAATATTGTTGCACATATATTTCCCGCACAAGGTGCGGGCAAGTACCTAGTACCAAGTAATTAAAAAAGTGTTTCCTTTGAACAGACTAGGTCTACAGAATATCGACGAGGGTTTCTTTGATAAACCACGAACCCGCCGGTTTAGTTGTACCATTTGGTTTGTTATGAATGGTATTACATAATGCATACGAGATCTCTCAGGAAAATTGTCTTAATTTCACCTGGTTTTGTTGTAAGACTGCTCTTGGATTTTATGATTATCATTTGCTAGTTAACAAATTTAATATATAAGATAAGATCAGCCATAAGTTGATTGATGTTCCCTTTTTTTTCTCTAAATGAATTCCCAAAAAGACATGATTTTGTACGATAAAACTGTAACTACAAAACATATAAACTGAATTCGGAATTTTATCATTAATAGTCCGAACAGAAGCTGAATCGGTTTGACTACAATCATATAGAAAATGATTGAGGTCAAACCGAACCGTTCATTACATCGTTACAATGTCAAAGCAAGAACCAATCTCTACTCTTACACATAAATTGTGAGTGTCATTACATAAAGAAAACAATCAGAAGTTACTAATAAAACTTGTTATGTCCCAACAGCAGCAACTATGGTTAACTCTAGCAGCAGAAATAATCAGAAAACTGGAGATTGTCTTCACAGAAAGTTCTGTTCTGATACCTAAAACCTTCCTCTTCAACACCATCAAAATCATATATAGGATATAGATTCGTGGAGACATCATTAGCAGCTACATCTGAAGCTTTGTTCTGAAACATCAAAGTTTCCACTTCTATACCTTCAGACACAACGATGGGAGGATTTGGACTCGTAGAGACGTCATGATCAGCAGCTTCAAAGTTGTTGAAAAGACTCCAATGAGTGCTATCCGAGACACCATCATCACTGAATGCTGGACATTCAAAACTTGTCCAATCTATAAGTTCATCAATATCCATCTCTTGATTATTGCACACATCCAAACTTCCACTTAAACCGTTTATGTTGTTGTTGTTGTTCTCCGTTGCACAAAAACTATCACAAATAGACAGTATCTGATCTTGCTCTTCAGTGATGATCTTGTCAGGTAATA